TGTTAATATTTATGTGTTCAATTTCTTTCTTAACAATGTCCAATTTTCCTATATCCATGCTTGTCACATTCCATGTTCCAGTCACTAGTGTCTGCTTATAATTGTTCCTCCTCCTTTGTGTTTCCATATTTAAGGGCTCAGCCTTAGTTGCCATATCTGCTAGTATACTTTAAGTGTGCTCTATTGTACATAAAGTTTTTAAAGGCCTGTTAAACATAATCTTCATGGTAGTAAAGATTGTGTCCTTTTTTGGTCTCTTCCATAATTCAGTGTCCAAGACAGTGCTTGACACAAACGTTAAAAAAAACAAGACCCACTGCATTAATTCAATTCTTAATCTTCAAACCCTCCATTGGGTTTCCAAGGCAGTGAATCTTAACAGAAGCAGGCTGTATCACTTTTCTCTCTTCTTTTGAACTGCCAACCTCTTGATCAACAACCCAATACTTAGCCCAATACACCATATAATAGATGCTCAAAAGATGCTTATTGAGTAAATTAATGCAGCAGAAGCTTTTGCTCTGTTGCTTATGGACCCGGTCCAGCTCTCAAGCACTTTCTAAAAAAATGAAAGACACGTCTCTTGTCTGTTCTTTGTGGTTTTATTAGTGTTTTCTGGGACTTATTCAAACAAGGAAACCATATTTTGAAAAACATCGTTCTTTCACAAAACAGAAATTCTCGGTTTGAATTTCACATCATTGGAAAAGGCAAGATTTCGGATTTTCTAAAAATAATGGCAGTAGGATTGTTTCCCACAAATTGCCAACCCAGAAGCCAGGTATGAAGAAAAGCAAGAATTATGTAGACAGCTACAGAAAGATTAATCCCAATTTAGCAAAACTTGTGAAGGCCTGTACAATTCAATTCATAAGACATAGTCTCAACAGGTTTTTTTAAAAATGTCTGTGTCTTATTCCAGAAACTGAATGCTGAGAACCAACACTGAGGATAGTTGAACTGTGCTTTCTTTCAATGAGAATCCATCTGTAGATAGATTCACATATTTATTAATCCTACAAACCCCTCAGATACGTAATTCCATGCTGTGTACACAGTAGGCAGTCAATCAATACTTGTTTAAACTATAGAAGAATAATATAATTGCCTTCCCCTTGCTAGTTTCCATTTCCCTATGTTTTTTGCATTTGAAAAATATAACGCACTTGTAAAACTAAAATCTAACATGCATTCTACTAACCTTATCAAAAGATTCCTCAGTATTTTTTTTCAAAAAACAAAAATAAAATAAAAACCAACCCAAAAATACTCCAATGGAGAAGTGCTTTACATTTAAATAGCAATTTACATCATATAAACATAATTCATCATCTTCATTGGTTAAAAACAGGTCAAAGGTTCATTCACCACTGGTTTCTTGTACCAGTTGAGTCTCACAGTTCCAAATAAGGCAACAGAATTCTAATCCGACATAGATTGATTTGTGGAACCAAATGGCCAGTTTGGATTTCATTTCAGCGCAAGTAGCAAAGCAAAACAAAAGAGTCTCACAGTAAGATGTTCATTTGCTGGATAACATGTTCTTGGAGGCTTTGTCCTTGTGTTCAGATTCCAGTGAAGAAACGATTCATGTTTTAATTGTCAACATGGCCTCCAGTCAGTTGCCTCCCAGAAAACATTCGTTCATTAACTCAACAAATAATGATTGAGTGACTGTCTCATTCTTGATAATGAAAAATGGTTATGACAAGACACCATGTCTGCCCACAAAAAGCAGACAGTCTAGCAAGACAATGAGGATAAGAGTGCTCAAAAGAAAGCATACCTGGGTCTGCCTGCTCGTAGGGCACATTCCAGAAGCTGTAGGATGTGTCCCTGGGAGCCAGGGCTTTGCTCAAGCTTTATCAAGTCAAATATGCAGGAGCCTCAGCTCATCTAATTCTGGTAAACCCTTAGCAATATGTTTCCTGCCTTCAGGTTCCCAAAAATGGCAAAGAAGAGCCCAGTGAAGGTTCAAGAAGGCTGTGCTTTGTAGCCATGTATGCCTTTTCAAATGAGAAGCTGTCTATCCCCAAAAGAAAGCAAGGGCTTCACTCCATGCTGGCTTATCTCCGGCAGTTTGCTCTTCCTTTCAACACTGTGGTGGAAAGTACTCTGTTCACACCCCAAGCTGGCAAGGCTCAATTACTTTTGAGTTCTCCAAGTCACGAACAGCACATAGCAAATGCATCAAACACAAGCCAAGACAATAGAGAGATATGCTGAGAACTTAATACTCCAGCATTATTTAAATAGGTGCCCAGTGCCAAGAAACCGTCACTTCCCAAACAACACAGTCTGCTAATTATGTGCAGAACTGTTCCGGTTGGTACTCCCCAGATTCACTTACAACCAGAATTAGTTGTCCTTGGATGGAGAGGTTGGAGAAGGGGGCCACTGTTGGGGAATGTGGGAAATTTATAGGTTTGGGGAAGGGTAAACTCAGAGAAGGTTCCAGTCCTCTTAGATGACATATTAAGGACATTATCTGAGAAGGAATGGCAGAGAGTAAACTGGGAGATGGCCCCAAGAACTTCACATAATTTCTATATATACAGACTTATTGTCACTCGTCATACCACTTTCAACTATCTGGCTACTTAACACCTTGTGTGTGAGGGATAGTCAAATGCCAGAAAGTCCCACTCTTCTTGATCTTTGCTTGAAAAGCCCAGGTGTGTCTTTACTCAGAAATATCTCATTTGCATAGTCAAGACCTTAGATGTTCATTATTCTTCTTCTCAGCTTTGACACCAGCTATTGATAAGCCTCTATGAATGTGGCCAAGCCAGGCAGATGCAAAAAAATCAGCATCATAATCCTTTAGAAGTTCCTTTGTCTTGATAAACTGGTGCTCCTGGAACACCCTCCTGCTTCTCTTTGTATCTAGAACAAAGTCTTAATTCTTCTTACTTCTAGACACATTACAAATACTTTGCAACCTTCAAATAGGATTTGCTCAGCTCTGCTGGGTAAGGCACTGTAGAAGGTACTCTAGATTATTGATTAATGAAGTAGGTCTATTCCTTCCTCTTGTTGCATGTCTTCTCCATCTCATTGCCCAAGATAAGGAAGTAAGATGGAGAACAAGAAGATCCAGTAAGGAAAGCTAGGAGAGAGGTTAGGATTCCCAAATCCATTTTTAAAGAATCTGCATGCTCACTTTCCTACAGATTGCTGGACTCAGCAATATTCCAGGTACTCAAGAACATGACCCCAAACTCCTTACTGACAAAAGCTCCTTACTGAGATTTCTGATGTCCCTTTCAATTCTTTTTAACGCCCTTCTTAAATTTTTAACATCTTATTTGATGTCAATCTAGCCAACAAGTCATTTACTTTGGGAAAAGTTCTGATGAGATGGGAGAAAGATACTGTTATACAAATTAAAACCCACAAAGATGATTTCCCCCAAACTCACACAGACATACAAACATTCACATGGCTGCCCTCAGCATGCTCCCACTCCAGCCTTCTGCACGATCACTTCGGCTTTACGTTGTAAATGCCAGTGACAACAGCTTTAGTTGTAGCTCATAATACATGACTATACATAATTGCTCTGCCTTTGCTCCCATCTGGGATTCTCAATGAATTCCCTCTAAATATTTCAAGCCATTATCTTAGAAATGAAAACCAGGTTGACACTCAACTCTTCTTTTGCACTCATCTAGGGACTAGAAGATGTTACAAATATTTTTGGTCTGAGAATATAGATACCGTCCGTCTTTCGTCTTGACTGGTTAACTCAGTGGTTCTCATCAGCTATGTGGCAAGATTTGGAGACAATGTGGGTTGTCACAACTTAGGGGATGGTGCTGCTGGTATCTCATGGGTAAATGTCACCAATACTGCAAACCATCCTGCAAGACAGAGCAACAACAAACTATCCAGCCCCTAATTGTCACTACTGCTGATTGAAAAGTGCTGAGTAGAGAGACTAGAATATTCACAGTCACTTCAACTCCACTGTCTACTTTCTCCCCACATACTGTGAACGGAGATAAACTCACCAAAGATGAAAAGTAAAAAAAAAAAAAAAGTTAAAGTAATAAAAACAAAACAAAAAACCAACAAAGCTATTGCCATCAAGTTGATACTGACTCATAGTGACCCTATAGGGCAGAGTAGAAATGCCTCGTAAGATTTTCAAAGTTGTAAATCTTTACAGAACATGATTCCCACTTTTTTTTCCCTCCCACAAAGTGGCTGTTGAGTTTGAACCATCGACCTTTCAGTCAGCACTGGCACATTGCCATTGTGCCATCAGGATTCCTTAAGCAGACGTAAGCAAAGGTAGCAATTGAAGTTTTTCTCACCAACCATCCAGGCTGGAGTGTTCAGGAGGTGGGTAGCCTTGACACTGGGTAAATCATTTCATAATGAATATGTAGCCCTCACCATAATTCTTTTCAACTGATTTAAACATTGCAAGTCATATGATTACACAGAGATTACAGTCCACCTTAGAGTTCAGTAGCCAGTAGGATAGACTTCCCAGCATCCTTCAGGCTTTTGACCTTGAGATTCTAAAGTTCAGCTGAGGAACCATGTCCAGGCACTTGACAAAGCCATGTGGACTCTTATGTCCCAAGGACGCATCAACCTATTTTTAAATCACTTTGCATATAAAAACATTTAATGCCCTCTGATTCTTCCCCTTCTTCTTTCTTTTAGCAAGAAGCACAGGGTTACATACCCAGCAATTCTTGCAATTGGAAAGAACTTCACAATAGAGGCAAAAAAAAAAAGACAACCTCTTACAGCATCATATTTCACAGAAAACTGTGTACGTTTGTTCCCCATATAGGACATACTTCAAAGTAACAAAATAATTTCATTGGCTGTAGTGTTCCTTCTTCCCATTAGAAGTAGATAGAATTTTTTTTTCCTTTCCCATATGGTACATAAATATCAGAGTAAAGCCGTCTTTGAAATATTTATGCCCAGGAGTCCTTCGTGTGTTAATATCTGATGTGTGTTTTGGCTTGCTGTCTGTGTCAATTTTCGTTTTCTCTCCAGCCACGAGCATTCTTCCCGAATTTATATACCAGTCTTCGTCCATCCACACGCTCCAGAATTTCTCTTTTGTAGTAATATCTGTGACAAAGCAAAGCGTGTAAGGTGACTGCTCAGACAAGGCTGTGGGCTCAATAAAGGCTCTTTAGGACAAGATCCTCCTCACCTCATGGCCCGGCTAAGCTTTTCATAAGTCATGCTGCTGTTGTTCTTCTTTTTCCCCCATAGCTGAGCTACAGCCTCTGATTTCAGGAACCGGAAAATGCCTTCAGACCGGTCTTCCCACTTGATTAAGCCTGGGTTCTTGTCTGGGTTCAGGAGGATATCGCGGATGAATTCCCACAAGTGAGTCCCTCGAGGATCTGGTCAAAAGGAAAGGGAGTTTATTATTGGGCCTCCCCACTGAGTAAAGGCCTCTGGTGGCCTAGTGGGTAAGGAGTTGTGCTGTGAACCTAAAGGCAAGTGGTTTGAATCTAATAGCTTCTCCTCGGGAGAAAGGGCAAATAGTTAACACACTTTATGAGTCACTGAAAGACTAGATACGCACCCCCATTCCCATCCCACCCCCCACGCCAGAGGTATTTCAGAACAAAAGGCCTGGGAATCTACATCTGGAGACTCATTTCTTGAAAACCCTATTAAGCACAGTTCTGCTCTGACACACACCGGGTTGCTTAAGTCTGAGTTGACTCAAAGGCAACTCAATGCCCCCACCCCTAGTGGCCTATGTAACAGCAAAGAAATGTGTAGAGAATCATCGAGTTATTATATGGAAATGAGTTGTTATATACAATTGAGTCAGAACTAACTCACAGCTGGCCCTCCAGTGGGTTTTCCGAAGCTGTAAATCGTGGGAGGAGACGCCCATCTTTTTCCTGTGGAGCAGCTGGTGAATTTGAACCGTGTACCTTGGGTGAGCAGCACAGCTCTTCACCACTAACCCACAAGAGCTCCCCCTAAGGAGTAGAGTATGCTCACCTCTCCTCTAATCACCTGGGAAATTACAGCCCAGAATCACCAAGCACCACCACACGAGGGAGATCAGAAGGCATTGGAAAAATAAACTAGTTCCTTTTTTTTTTCCTTCACTAGTTCAAGTTTTTAATTCACAGGTCAAAAAAATGGAGGCCTAGAAAGTTAACATGACTTGACCACGGGAATGCAGCTAACAAGTAGCAAGATCAGTTAGGTCTCATGAGACAAGGAAAGTTTCTTCTAAATCCTGTTGACAGAATACTTCTAATTTATTTTGACTTGTTACTTTCCTGGAGAACTGCGTATATTAAAACCTCAACCATCTTAGTTGCTTCTAGACTATATTGGGAAAGAGAATAACTATGAGGCCCTAGAACATATTTAGGGGCCCCTGGGGGTATGTCCATAGGGAGTTTGCTGCTAATCAAAAAGTGGCATCTCTGGCAGTTTGAATTCACAAATGGGCGCCACGGGAGAAAGATGAGCGATTTCCTCCCCGTGACACACAGCTCAGAAACCCACGGGAAGATCAGCTACGAGCCAGTTACAACTGGACAGCAATGATTTTGGTTTTTCTTGAAGAATATATTGGAGGAAATTGGAATATACCCCAAAAAAATGAGGACGGAAACTTGTACACCTATGTTCATAGCAACTTTATTCACCATCACAAGAACATGAAAGCAGCCCAGATGTCCAACCACAAACAAATGGATTGAGAATTGTGGTACTTTCATACAATGTACTACACAGCATGCAGGAGCAATTTTGTAAATTACTACCTAAGTTGGGAGGGACTGGAGAGCATTATGCTGGGTAACCTAACTCAGTCTCACAAGGACAGATACTGTATAAAACCATTATTGTAGAATGAGTATAAGGAACCAAGGTGGAGAGGAGGGTGGTAATAAAAGGGTGAAGATGGGGAGGTAGGTTATTAATCATAGGGTTGCACAATTCAATGGGTGGGTGGAGTGAAGGAAAAGGGAAGAGAGAATCTTTTGTGAAAAACAATATATTCAAACTTTGTAAATAAATCAGAGTAATAGAAAAAATTAAAAAGAAACAGAAGTAGGTTAAAAGAAACAACATGTATGTTGCTGTCATTATGTACCACTGACTCTACAACAATACATAGCTCACCCTCCAAAGGGTTTTCAGAAGCAGTTTAATCTCAAGAGAGGAAATTGCCCATCTTTCTCCCGCAGAGCAGCTGGTGGATTTGAACCTCATGCTTTTGTAATTGCAGAGTAGCTCCTTACCGCTAGGGCACCGAAGTTCCTAGATGATAATATTAGGGAAAAGAATGTATATGGAGTCAGGTAAAAGCCTGGGGCAGGGCAGGAGGCTATTTGAAAATGAAGCAGCTACTGTGATGAGATGAACAACCAAGGTCAAACTTACTCTCATTGAACTTGCTGTGCCCCAGTTAGGGGTTGTTTCAACTCAGTTCTGTGCAATTAGCTGCAGCAGCAAATAGTAAAGATGTCCTGTAATTTCTAGAGTTGACATCATCTTTATTTCTTTAGAAAGATATATTTCTAGGTGCAACTCTCTTCCCATCTCCCATTGCAAGGTCTATGCTTCATTGTTCCCATACTGTCACTAAGATTTTATCAACAAGCAAAACCCAACTGCCAAGGAACAGCATTGAATCTTGAGAATAAACATTCATCTTTTGGGAACAGTGATTCCACAGTAGAAGAATTTACCATTACAATAGATGGGTAAAAAGAATTCTTAATCATTTCTTTCCATCTTTCTCTTGTTCATATTCTTTGCTCCACCCCTCAATCTTTAGAAGAAGAAAATCTCTAGTAACTTCACATCTGCAAGAAATTCTTACTCGGTGGCTGTTTCCATTGTCAGGCAAACATAACAAAATGCTGAAGAAGAGCCCAGTTTGAGAAAGGATGGGAGAGGTTATTTTGCCAGACCATCTTGTACTGCTAACCCTAAAGTCATGCCTCTCTGGCAGTTCAAAGCCAGTGGCTCCTCGGGAGAAAACGGGCAATCTCTTCCTGTGTGAATAACAGTGTTGGAAACGCAATGGAAGTTCAGCTATGAGTCAGTTCTGACTTGACAGCAACGAAGGAGAAATGAGGGACCTCGTTAGTCACAAGTGGCGAATGTAGGCAGCTAGCAGAGGCAAGCATCTGCCTAAAGCATAGTACCAGGTACATCTAAATGAAGAGAAGAGCTCAAAGCCATACACGCAGGCGACTTACTGTGCTTTTTGGTGTGAGACTTTGCAGGGTGGTCTTGCTCCTTTTTCATATCAGGTGATTCTGATAAAAAGAAAAATGAGTCGCTTAATTTACATACTTCTTACAATTATCTATTTCATTCATTTGCTCATTTAAAAAAAAAAGCATTTTATAGTGGTTTGTGTACAAAATGTGTATACATTGTGTTTCACACTTGCTTTGATTCACATTGTTTCCTATAATCATTCCCAAACATTGTGTTTTATGAAACTAATCCCCATTGAATTATGACCACCATTACCCCATCGTTTCAGGTCCCAGCCAGATCTCTCAATTTCCTTTCCCCACTCCTTTTACCCATCAAACTCTGTGACTTCCCCCCTGCCCACCCTCACCCCCCTGCTCCCCCCTACCCTCCTTAGACCCCCATACATGTTTTACTGGTTGTTCTTCTATTTTTACAGTCCATTCATCCGCTCATTTAACTATTATTTTTTGAGCATCAACAACATGCAATATATGAAATATGTGGTAATAAAACGTATATTAAAGTCTATGGAAAGAATGAGTGTAAGATGTGGAGACAAGATGTCTGGAAATAGTGTAACTGATGATTTAAAAGAAAGTGGCCATAGGTGATTGCTCTGATTAGGGAATTTGAAGGATATGAGGGAGACAACTCTGCAGAGAGCTGGTGGAAGAGCCTTCTGTGAATGAAGATAGTAAAGGTCTTGGGGTCAATATGCAATTGGCATATCTGCTGATTAGCAGAAAGCCAGTGAGCAAAGTGATGAAGTATAGGAGTTGAAGTCAGAAAAGAATGAGTGGAACAGATCATTAATGTCCGTGATGCTTTGTAAGAACTTTTGCTTTTATCCTAAGAGAGGTGGGAAAGGCCCTGAAAGATTTAGGTTGTAAGAAGATGTTTTTTTCTTTTTCCATAATGAAAAAAAAAATTCTAGCATTTATGACTAAGAAAGATGACTTTTAATCTGAAGGAATGCCCTTTTTGGCATCCAGAGTTACATTTTAATCAGCCTTACAAAGGGGCCATTGACTGGCCCAAGCCCAATGCAGAGGGCCACAGTGAACTATGGAAAAACATAGATTAGCTTAACAAATGACTCATTATCCTAACCCTTGCAACTATCACCCAAGAGCAGACAACAGAGGCAAAGCTATGAAACATAACATTTTTACAAAGAAAGCTAAGAGATCTAGAGGGGATACAATATAGAAGAACACTAACAAGAAAAAGACCAACAAAGCTCTTACACGTAAAAATGAACATAATGTACATTTCACAATCAAAAACCAGCCCATTTTAATACAGAAGAGTTTCTACACAAAAACCATTTCTGTTAAGAAATCATGATAATGAAATAAACATCTGTTTACACCTGGGCTTCATACCCTGGCGTTCTTGGATCCATGAGTGGTCAAGTATGGTGTTTAAGGGCATTTGGGACTTCCTGAAACTGCACAAAAGGGAGATATCATAGCATCTAGTAAGTTCTTCACACTGGACATTACTCAAAAAAGTTTAGGAGCCACTGGCCATTAGCTGTCAATTAGAGTAAGCTAAGAGTATTAGCAGCTGCTTCTGGGCACTTTAGAAACCCTGGTGGTACAATGGTAAAGTCCTTGAAAAGTCAGTGGCTAAAACTCACCCAGTGGCTCCCCAGGAGAAAGATCTGGTCAGCTGCTCTTATAAAGACTATAGCCAAAGAAACCTTGTGTTCTACTCTGTCGCATGGGGTCACTATGAGCTGAAATTGACTCTTGACAGTATCTAACAACATTGTCCACTTACTACGTCCTGCTAGCTTGGTATATAAGGAGCTGGGCGGCCAAGTCAAAAGCAAGCAATTAGAATCTGCCAGCTGCCCTGTGGGAGTGTGATGGTCAATCTCTTCTCATTTAATTTGTTGTTATGTGCCGTTGAGTCACCTGTGACTTATGGCAACCCTATCCTGCCCTGTCCAAAGCAAGTCTCACTGACTCCGATACACCTATTCCCATTCCCTAGTTACTGTTTCAATCCATCTCATCCAGGGTCTTCCTCTCCTGTGCTGTCCCTCCACCCTTCTCTAAAGATTGATCCTTCCTGGGCACATGCCCAAAGTGTGTGACGGAGATTCAAAATCCTAGCCTCTCAGAAGAAACTTAGTTTCACCCTCTCGTTTGTTTTCTTGGTAGACCATGGTATGTTCAAGACTCTACTCCAGCACCACAGCCCGAAGGCATCAATACTTTTTCTGTCATAGTTAGTCATTGTCCAGCTCTCTGATGGCCTGGATTAGGCGCACCTTAGTCTCTAGACTGACATCATTGCTTCTCAGTACTCTGGAAAGGTCCCTGACAGCAGATTTACTTAACGCAATTCGTCTTTTGATTTCCTGGCTGTGGGTACCAAGAGTGTTGATTGTGGAGTCGAGCAAACAACTGTTAACTGTAACTGTTAACAACCTTAATCTCTTCTCCATCCATCATGGTGCTGCCAATTGGCCCAGTGGTGTCCTCTTGATAGTACGTTTCGATCCATATTGAAGACGACAGTCCTTGACCTGCAGCAAGAGCTTCACCTTTTAAAAATTCTCTGAAAGGTCAACTATGAATTGATTTTGACTTGATGGCCATGATAGGCTGAGTTGAGTTGAGGCTGTGCATTGAGAATTTTATACCTTATTTGATTCATTCAATAACTCTACAAAGGAGGTACAATGGGGGAAAAGTGTCTCATATTTTACATCTAGAGAAACTGAGAAACAGAGAGGTCAAGTGACTCTCCTAAAGTCACATAGCCGGAAGGGGGAGCCAGAATGTGCTCCCTAGTGTTTGAAAGCAGTACCTTTGCATATATCATTACTCTTCCAAAGAATGCGGGCACCTGAAAACCAAACAGAGCTCTCTCTCTCTCTCTCTCGTTACTATCAAGTCAGAACCAACTCATGGCTGACTCCCTTTGGATTTCTGAGATTGTAAATTGCACCAAAGACCGCCCATCTTTTTCCACTGCACTGCTGCTACAGAGTTGCTGCCTTTAGGTTGGCTGCACGAGTCCCTAGGGAATCTGCCACCAACTTGCACAAGCATTTTCAAATGTATTTGCTCTGGTTCTAAGTTGCTGGATTAATTCATTAGCTCTGAAATAAGTGAGAAATAAGTAATTGCAATTTGATAATTCTGTATTTCCCAATGTGCCTGGACCCATTTGCCTATCTGATCGTTCAGTCTGTCATGACTCAGGGCTCCAAGCAGTTTCTCTTAAAGCTCCCTGTAAGTGTCACGGCAGGTAGGAGGAGAGAGATTTCACAAGATCTGGACAAAAGGGAAGCCTCTCATGCGGGTTCAGATTCCTCTGCTGGCACTGCGGTTAGGGAGGCCTGCACCTGTCTCCGTTTACTTTGAAATCTGTGAAGACAAATTCAAAGGAAATGCACAAAACCCTCACTCTCCCTCCCTGTAGGTTGTAGAGAGAGGTTGCAACATCCCATCAGGATGTGACAATATTGCGACAGGTCTGGCACCCACCCAGGCTTCCCAGTGATACATCATCCTAACAGGGCCGCGTTGTTCTGCAGACAAAGAGCTGCATTTACCCAGCAGGCCATAAGCAAACCTCCCTGCAAATGGCATCCAGGAGGGACGCAAGGGCCATTATTTCTGCGCCAGGGTTGAGTTCAGAAAAACCCAAGTGTCTCTAAGCATATTGACAAACCTGTTGTTTACCTAGGGAGCGATGGTATCATAGCTCTTAGGGAGTTGCACTGCTCACCCAGAGGCAGTGCCTCTCCAGAATTTCAAATCCACCAACAGCATCTTGGGAGAAAGATGGACAATCTCCTTCTACACAGTTTATAGCTTCTGAAAACCCATTGGAACATCAGCTATGAGTCAATTGCAATACAACAACAAAGAGTTTGAGTTTGAGGGTTTGAATAGTTCTTTAAGACACTCTTGTGGTGTTACACATTGCACTGCTAAGCAAAAACCAGTGGTTTGAATCTATCAATAGCTCCTTGAGAGAAAGATGGGTTTAGTAGAACTAATTACTTCAGGGTTAAGGTTCAGTAGTGAATAGATAAAGAGCTTAGTCTGTTTCTCCCAATAAAATGTTTTCTCATAAAGTTTTGTAAACCATTTCAGGGGATTCACGATCCACTTAAAAGTCTTAGAGAGTCTAAATTAAAATCCCCAGACTATATAGGCCATAAAAAAAATTTTCTCTTTGATACGTCAGCCATTTACACAGGCTAGACGTCCATCCAGCTTAGGAAAGGAAGGACAAAAAAGATTGCTTAACTGCTAGCCTAAACGTTGGTAGTATCACAGAAGAAATGAACTTCCAGAAAGATGACAGCCAAGAAAATTCTGTGGAGTAGTTCTTCTCTGTGACACAAGAGGTCGTCATGAGTCTAAATATGACTACTCAAATAAAAAATTTAAAAAAATGTTTCTATTATTCTGAGGGGAAATAAAAAACAAAATAGGCAAAATAGTCAGAAAACCCCTCAAGTCTCTTCAGCCCCTCTTCCCTCCCTAATGTGCCGGGGCAAGCTGTGGAATCACTGCCGTAGCACCACCATCTTTTGATCTAAACCCCCACTTTAATATGATGGCCTCCCCCCAAATAAAAACCAAGAGCTTTGAAGTGAGCCATGTGGTTACATGATTCATTCTTATAAAAGAATGACTGGCTCTGGGGGAGTTTTCCAGCGCGGCTTTGTCTTGCTCCGCTCCCAACACTCCAGGCCAAGGTCCAGTCCTGGGCAGGGGCTGCAGCAGAGGCAGAGGCAGCGGCAGCGGCAGCGGCAGCCTCCTGGGGCTTCTGAGGCAAGTGCCAGGGCATGACTTCAGCTAAGCTGCTTCCCAAGAAGCAAAGATTAGATGCATTTGCATATGAGTCAGCTATGAGCCATTTTTTTTTTACGGGATATACAAATTTCAGTGTTATAATAGACCGTGCCACCCTCGCTTTAGGCTCAACAAGTCCGTGGATAAACACATCAAGCCTGAGTTGGCGTGATTGGCTCGAGGAGTATCAGGCAGATCAGGAATACTGGCGGCAGCCATTTTATGGCATGGGCAGATGATAGAGAAATCAAAACAAAGGCAGCTACCCTGCCTGTTTATCACAGAGGGCATCAGTTTACAGCGAGCCTCGCCTGGCTCAGCTTAGGACTGGCATTGAAACACAGGAAGATGTTGCATGGCACTCCACTTTGTAGGAGCATCACAGACAAAGACTCGGGCAAATGACAAAGGTCTTGGAGGGGATTTGGCTCCTATCCCATAGAGTCTAAACTATTCTGAAAAGAATTGGCCCATGCAAGGCCTAAATCCTTAGGGAAGGACATCACGCTTGGTAAATGGGATCATCAACTAAAAGGAGGAAGGCCCTCAGCAAGATTTGCACAATCCCTTCAGCACTGGGCTCAAGCATAGCAGTGATTTTAAGAATAGTGCAGGAACAGGCAGTTTTATTCTGTTGGACAAAGGATCACTATGAGTCAGAGCCAACTGGACAACTCTTAATACCAATGTTCAGAAGGGCTGCCACTAAACCAACCTCAGACCCTCAATAAATTCTTTATCCTCCTCATAGATGGTATGAGTTGATTATCTCATTTTCCAGCCTGCTTTGTAACGGCAGAGTTGCAGTAGAGGGCAGAGAAGAAATGAAAAAAAAAAAAAAGATTTAAAAACTTTTGGAGAAAGACTACAGGCACACCATGTCTTACTGTGCCTCACTTTATCATGTTTCACAGATAGTATATTTTTAGATAGCGCATTTCTGTGCATTTAGCTTCACGGTGTATGTAGTGCATGTAGATTCACAGATAGTACAAATGGAAGGTTTGTGGCAACCTCGTGTTGAGCAAGTCTGCTTACACCATTTTCCCAAAGTGAGCACATGGCTCATTTCATGTCTCTGCATCCATAATTCTCATAATATTTCACATGTTTTTCATCATGCTATTGCTCACTTAACAGACTAAAGAATTATGATGCATAATTGTCATATACACTGGGAAACCAAAAAAGAATGGTGTAATTTGCTTTATTGTGGCATTTGCTATATCCCAGGGGTCTAGAATAGCACTTGCAATATTTCAAAGTATGCCCTTGTTCCGTGGAGGCAGAAGAAAGGCCTGGTGAACCACTTGTGTGAGAACACAGCCATGGCAAGCCCGGAGGGGTACATGGAGGCCTCTGATACACATGGGACTACCATGAGTTGGAATCCACCCAACAATGCATTTGGTTTCTGTTTTGTTTTCAGCATTCTCTGGGCAATGGTAACTGAAGGATTAGAGGTTCCAATCTACCCATGGGTGCCTAGGGGAAAAAACGTGGTCATCAGTCACTGAAAACCTTGAAAACCTTAGGGAACAGAGTTCTATTCTGATATACATGGAGTCACCATGAGTCAGAGTGGACTCCAAAGCAATTTATGTTTTAATTAAAAAAAAAAAAATTTTTAAATCTTCAAAAAATTCTGAGATGCTAGAAAGTAATTCAGGATACAGTAAAGGGTAGAATTACTATGGTTATGGCTTTAAGGTTTCCTAGATTCCTCAAGATCTAGCAAGCTTGAGGCTCAGGAACTGGTTGGTTGAACCTTATTCTTAGTTGGAATCTCATGTCGGATGTCAAGATCCAACCGGAAGGATGTGGGAGGTGACACCTTCGGAAGTTCGAGAGGAAGTCAGAGGCAGACGGTTTCTCAGTTTGGAAACTCAAGGTTCTGACAGGACGGCAACAATTTTTGTCACAGAAACTATTCCCTGATTGAGGCTACTTCCCTTCAAATGAAAAGACATTGAGGGCTCTTCCAAGTGTTTGATTTAATTCCTAATTTCACCACTTAGACTCATACACGGAAGGTAAGGGGACAGAGAGATGAATTTGCCTCAACTCTTCACCTCAGTTCAGAGAACAGCCCTTCATATGGATTGCCCTTCAATATAAACAAACAATAAATCCTCACAACTGGACCATTATCATAAACAGAGAAAAGATTGGCTGTCAAAGATGTCAAGAATCTGTAATCAACATCTATGGAAGTAGCAGTCAAGAAATCACATGGCATACTACATTGGACAAATCTGCTGTCAAGTTTCTCTTTAAAGTGCTAAAGAGCAAGGATATCACTTTAGAGATTAAGGTGTACCTGAGCCAATTAATGGTATTTTCAGTTGCTTTCTATGCACGTGAAAACTGAGCAATAAATAAGGGAGATGGGAAAACAGTTGATGCCTTTGAATTATGATGTTAGCAAAAACCATTGAATATACCAAGGCCTGCCAGAAGAAGGCATAATTTTATCTTAGAAGGACAGCCTGAAAGCTCCTGAGGAGTGACCGTGGAGAGATTTTGTTTCAAGCACTAGCATGTTGTCAGGAGAGGCCAGTATCTTCAGAACAACATCAGTAAAAAAGAGTGTGACCTTCAACAAGGTGATTGGCACAGTGACTGTAGCCCATCGCTATGAGGGTGAGGGTGGTACAGAACCACTCGGTGTCTCGATGTGAGTCAGAACCAAACATCCAGCCCTGCCTCGTCCACGGAGCTTCACCTGAACCAAAACTCAAACCAAAAGCTTTTAGCATGTCAGGTCTCACAAAGCCCACATTAACAACAAAGCACCAAAACAAAGAGATTGTTGTTGGGTTGGTGTCCTTTTCACATCACAAAAACTTACTGAAATCTCATTTCTGAAATTGCCTCAGATCTAGTTCCAGAAGAACATGTCACTTTGTCAAAGCTCCATATCAAAGACTCAAAGTGATCCAGAAGTTCACACCCAAGTTAAAGGGCAGCTATTCAACATCCCTATTTGTAATGGTGCAAGGATTGGACAGGATTCAGATCTGTTTTCATAGGGTCGCTAGGAGTTGTACTCCACTCGATTTCCCTCAACAACAACAACAACAAATAACATTTGTGATAGGGGAGGAATCTGAAAATCCCCCTCCTACAGGGAGCTCTGGTGGCCTAGTGGTAGGAAGCTATGCTGCAATCCCGAAGGCATGCGGTTAGAACCCACCAGCTGCTCTGTAGGAGGTTGGGCAATCCCCTCCCCTGTGATTTACTGCCTCTGAAAACCTGCTAACGGGTTAGCTACAGATGAGTTTTGACTTGATGGCATACAACAGCAATAACAACATAACAACAGTAACATTCTCAATATGATATCCTTCTTAGTGTAAACTTAATTGAAAGTCATGGAGAGCTTCCAATTCAATGCAATTTCAGCCAGAAGGCTAAGATTAGATATAACTAACGTGAACACAGGAGCTCTGGTGACCTAGTAGCAAGAAGCTGTGCTCTAGTCCTGAAGGTACATGGTCTGAGGCCACCAGCTGCTTCACAGGCAAAAGATGGGCAAATTCCTCTTACGTGATTAACTGCCTCTGAAAACCGACCGGAGGGTCCACTGTGGGTGGGTTCAGACTCTCTGGTACACAACAACAATGTGAATATTATTCATAACGTTCAGGTGATTCAACAGATGAGCCACCAAGATAAACTTAAAAAATGATAAAAGATCGTCCTTTGGAGTGGTTCCAGCATTTCCCAATTTACCCTCTGGGACCATTACCACAGCTTCATTTACCTCTACACGCTACTATTAGATATTTTTTCACCTAATCCAAACGTAATTTGTTGAAATTTAAATATAATCTCTTGCCTTAGAAGCATACTAGTTTGTGAATAATATATTGCATTGAAACAGATGAGGGAGAGAACTGTTTAAAAGGGACATATGAATGGGTATTCTTGTCATTACACAAGTCCAGCGTAAAGATTGCATAGTGGAGTGAACTTGGGGGGAGGGATTTAATAACAATGTAAGAGTTTTTCTTTTTCTTTTCAAGGAAAAGAGTGAATTGGAGGGGAGGAAGCGGGGTAGGGAGAAAAGTGAAACAATGAATGACTGGAAACCCTAAATCTCTGTAAACTTTCATTAAAACTAATTTTTAAAAAATTTAAAGAAATAAAGCTAATTTTCTGTGAACAAGTATTTGTTGGGAAGAATTGAAAGCTTGAACAACCGTGGAGAAGAGATTTCTCTGGAGACACACTTTTTTCTGGACATGCCCTGCTGGTCACCTTCAGTGTATAAATATTGACTTAAAAACAGACCTCTTATAAGCAGATAAGAAACTCTGGTGGAATGGTGCATTACATGTTGTAATGCTAACCAAAAAGTAGACCGTTTGAATCTACCAGCTGTTCCGTAAGAGAAAGAAGGGCAGTTTCATGCGGTAAACACATACAGCTTTGGGAACCCAATGGAGGTTGGAGCTGTAAGTTGGCACCAACTCAGTGACGGTGAATGGTATTAATAATGAACTCCACTCATTCCCCAACCTTTTCAAAAGAAAGACTCCCGCAATGTAAAAGCATGGCGCCCTGGTAATTCTCATTAAATCCCAGGAAGCTCTTGCATTAGACTCTCAGTCTCAGGATAACTTACCGACAGGAAGGTGATTGGTAGTTGTCATGGAGATCTGGGCCCGGCAGTATGTTTTGCTGTCCAACAAATCTGTGATGATGAAAAGATAAAGGGAATTAAGAGCCCCCTCTTTATAACACCGTGGCTTGTTGCACAGAATAAGATTATAAAAGGGCCTGATTTGTTGGGGAGTTAGTTACCTACTGTGCTACCATAGTTGGTGTCGTATAAATAGTTTTCTTCTTTCCAAGTGTTCATGATTGAAGGGTCTGCGAAGGACAGAGAATGGACAGTTCAGCATGGGCCAACTGTAGCTTTTTAATGTTACCTCAATGTACTTCTGTTTCCTGGGGAAACTGAGTTTTACTATAGCTTTGGCTTATATGCCCTTTACTGTTCTTTGAGGGAAATTGCAATAGTGAGTCTTATCTAGATTAATGACTTGGCTTCCTGGGAATTCTCTCAGCCTGTACATGGCAGGTAGTAAGTCCCTGGGCTAGGGGTTCTCTTACAGCCTATATATTCACCAGAGCATTCTTATACCAGAAACTCTCATCTGGGGCAACTGAATTTACAGCAGAGGCTCAATGGTGGGGTTTCCCCTCCCCGCTACTGTTTTCTTGGGAGAATTGAAGATGTGTCTTTCAGAAAAGACCTATTCAGTCTTATCACAGTTTCTTCAGTGCTGAAGTCCAGAGTGTCTCACCCCGAGTTAGAGGACATCCCCTCCCACCAGTGTTCCTTCAATTCATGTAAGGGTGACATTTATTCTCAAAACAGAAAGAAGGTGAAGTAAGGGACAAGACTGTTACAAAATCAAGCAAAGAACATTTAAGAGTGGGCACCATCGCCTCACCTCTGAGGAGAAACCATCTGTCCCCTCCCTCTCCCTTCAGTTTGCACAGTAAGCACGTCCCACTCTGATTAACTCTCCAGATTTCAGATTCAAAGGAAACTCCCCTCCGCCCACCCCAGTGAAGCCCAACTCCTACACAACCCCCAGTTCTGGGCTGGTCTCCAACAGAAGCATTTTCTCTGCTGACTGGCCAAGAGCTGTAAGATCTGGCCTGAGTGCCCACCTCATCCCCATGAAGCACTTCTGGCTTCTGTCTCTTCACAGATGGAGGCTGCCCTCAGAGCCCCTCCTGCCCAGGTTCTGAAGTTGCTGGCCGAGTTTCCTTTTGTTTTTACAGTGTAAATGGTATAAACCCTGACTCACTGGCTAAGTCCTCCTGTTTACGACATAGGGATTTAGCTGGTATTCTAACTAATAGCTACGTGTTTGGACACCCCAAGCCCAATATCTTTTGGGGTTACACCCTCACTCCTTGTTTGGTCACCTCGTACACCTGTTGTTGTCTCTGAAAACAAACTGAACCAAAGACGTTTGGGGGTGTTGGTCCCTCGAGAAGCCTCGACTCCCCTCCTCCCAGGGTGGACCTCTTTCCCCACCCTTCAGTTCAGCTTTTCTGAGCTGGCACCACAAGAATGTCTGGCTGGTCAAGGAGGAATTACCAAGTTATTTGAGACCTCTCCAATACCACCCATGATTCTGTTTGGTCACCAAAGGGAGGTGGCATCGTACTGTCAGTCAAGTCCTGTGTCCATGTCTAGGACATGCAGACCTATGTGCCCAGCTCAGACCATGCAGGTAGCCCTGCTCCTGGTGTCTTGTGGGGAAGGGCAGGGCTAGGAAAGGCTAAGGAGATGCTCGGCAGCTATTGTTTTTCCTTTAATAATGGTAGGCCAGCCCCTTATAAAAGAGTAGGTTAAACTGCATGGGGCCAGTTCCAGCCCCAAGTGACTCACAAATCACCCTGAGGTCAAATTCTGTCTTTGGTGATTGGCACGCCACACTAGGGAGACCTGTAGCAAGCTTGGACCCACATGGCTTCCAGGTTAGGGGCGTGGACATGAAAGTCGGGAGTTGTAGACAATGCAATTGCACAGTTTCTCATGACCCAGGGGCTTGGGGATCCTTGTATTACTAACTGTCTTTAGAGAGAGAGATCATAGGCCAAAGGTCATCCTGCAATGAGACCCAAGTAGGGCAAAACTCAGCGCAGCAGCTTCTCCCATCAGGCCAGTTATACCCCCCTTCTGACCCACAGAAACTCCCATGGGAAGAGATTCAGGGCAGGGGAAGACAAAATGAAATGCAGATACTATGAATACTAGGCTCAGCCTAAAGTCCAGAAGGTTAGCACTCATGCAGAAGTGAACTAAAAATTGTCTTCCACAGCTGCGTCCAAGCACCCCTATAGCATCTCCCAAGCACTCCCCCAAATCTCCATGCATTATGCTCTGTTCTCTTGTTCTTGGGAGGTTCAGAGAAGACATTTTGTTTCCTCTTCTCTCCTGCTTTTTCTAACTTGACCAAATCTCCTCACCGTTTGTGGTAAGAAGGGGGCTTAGGGTCGATGCTGCATTCTCACTAGATATGGACCTAGATGATGTCGGAGGAATAGCGAAAGGTGAGGAAGAAATAGGTCATGGTCACCAGCCCCAAGGACAAGGGGAAAGGCTCCCTGTGTTGTCTGGCCCATTGTAGACAGTCAGGGCAGAGGCCTCCCTGGGTCCATCGTACCCCAGGCTCTCTTTCACACCCCTCCTGTGCGGTCCTCCCCAGGACTGTGCCTAGCCACACTGACTTCTTTGATCTGTTCCTGCTCCTACTCACCGGTTTGTTCCGTCTTTACAATGACATTGTGTGTGGTCTGGAACAGATCATTGGTGCAGTGGCCTGTGAGGGACAGAGAGGGAGAGTCAGAAGGGCTTCCATGTGGCCCAAACCTGATCCTTGAACAAGGACAGAGCTAGCTGCTTCGAAGATCCTTGGCTAAGCCGACTGCCCTTCAGCCTCTGTTTGTTTTTGGGCAAACCCTTCTTAAACTCTGCACGCTCAAGCCTGGAGACTCGACCCTGGAAGATCAGATATCCAGGACACGGGTACCCAATGAAGCCAGTATGGAACTATTTAGAAAAAGCATCTGCTGTGGGGGACCACAACTTCAGAATGAGGAGACCAGTTTTTCTACTACTGGCTGTTAGGCAGGGAGCACTGTTGGCATCATCCCTCAGGAGGTACACTCATGTCTTTCTGGAGGTTTGAATCCATAAGCACGTGCCAGGCAGGAGGATGGGCAATCTCCTCCTCTGTGACTTACAGCCCAAAATCCAAGGGAGGGCCAATTAGGAATCAGTTCCAACCCAGCAGTGAAGTTTGTTAATTTTTGTTGTTGTTGTTGTTTCTGGGTCTCAGTTTCTCCATCTCTAAATTTAGGTGATTGAACTAGATAAAACCATTTGATGTCCTCTATAGTGCTTTACAATACCAAGATCTGATACAAAATTAAAATAAAACATGGGAAAACATTTTCATTTCACTGGCTTGCTTCCTCTTTGATTTAATCAAGCCCACCTTCACTGTGAGTCCTCGAAGGACATAAACATTTAACAAGAACCACTCCTGATCAAAGGAGAGGCAGGTTGAGTTTGTCCAGAGGCTCCTTGGAAGAAAAGTCTGGCAATCTAGTCCCAAAAATCCTCCGTTGAAAACTGTGGATCTCAGTTCTGCTCTGTCTCACTTGGGCTTGAATGTGTTAGAAGCAGCTCTAAGATAGCCACTGTGGCTTTGCTTGTTTATTTATTTTTATTAGATTCAATCTGTGAGATGTATCTGACTAAACGCAATAATCTGTCTCTTTTTATGCCCTGAGTACATATATGTACTAGCAGCGCAGATCACACACCCTTGTATTATTTTTACTTTTTTTCATTTTATACTAGTTTATTTACAAAATTCTAATACATTGCCCTTGTATTTTCTTACAATATCTCTAGTCATTTTTTAATATTGAGGATATCTATTCTCCAGGTAGATTGTAAATATCTCAGTCTTTAGACCTCCTGGCCCTCAGTTTTCACATCTGTAAAATGGGTGTAATAGTCATTCTTTTCTCTCGTCAGGTCATTACATAAGCCCATTCACTTAGAGTGCCTAGTACATAAGTAAGTCAACAATAAATCTAAGTTAACATAACATCTGCAAAAACAAGAAAACCACTGTGAGGAATCTTGTAAGTCCTTAGCATTTAGCATGTGTGGGGTCAGACAAGTGACTGAAGGTCGAGGGTGGACACAGCACTTCCCTGGCCTCCTCACCTTAGGCTTCAATCAGGGCAAAGCTTTAAAGGAGTGGATTTAATTGGCTGTAGGGAGGTAAATGTTTTTAATTCCTTAAGCATAAGTCTGCTCTTTCTGAAGGTTCTTGGGAGTTATTTATAGAGCCTTGTTTAGCTTGGTCCTAATTAAAAAAAAAAGGAGACAGAGAGAGCAGCAAGACAACCTTATGGGGTGACGGGAAGAAGGCAGCCAGCCTACTGAAGACATATAAAGTGCCTGACGCTGCTCCCAAAAGATGCCTTCCTCTGTGTGGAAGGCAGATACCAAAGTGAAATCGGGTTCTCAGGCCTGAATATCCTACTTCTCAGCACCCAGCTACCTGCCAGGCTTTGGTTCTGCCTATAATACCAGAAACACTTTTTCCAACACAGCCGGGCCAGCTCACGAGTCTTAGCCATTACTGCTTTACAGGTTGTCTGTAATTCACAGAGGGGCTGGTTTTTAATTGTTATTATGAGGGGACAGGGGTAATCGGGATGGGTGTGTCAGAGGCAATGAGATTGGCACAGGATAGAGAATGGTTTAGGGCTGTTGTACATAGGGTCGCTATGAGTCATAAACGACTCGACGGCACATAACAACAACAACAACAACATTACGAGGGGAGAGTGCCATATAGTCTGCAGGATGAGCATCTCATAAGTTCATGCAAAGTGTGCGTGTGTGTGTGTGTGTGTGTGTGTGTGTGTGTGTACAGTATCTGGGACACTGGTCTGCTCAAGCGAGGTGAGACTTTGGGGAGACACTGGAAATTTTAAAGTAGCACCAATTCCAGAAAGTACTGCAAAAACATCCCACCTATGTTCACAGCAGCTTTCTAACCTGGTTTTGAGTCATGTACCCTTTAGCATTCTACTGAAACAGTGTGAGATTTTCTCCCTACCAAACTTCAAATATAGGTCTGCTGTGTTGTTTGGAGCCCATTAAGGCCCCTGGGTGGTATAAGAGATTTGTGCTGGGTTACCAACAGAAAGGTTGGAAGCTTGGACCCACCCAGCAGCTCCATGGTGAGGGGGAAAGGCCTGCCAACCTGCTCCCATAAGGATGACTGCAGCTTAGAAAACCGTAGAGAGAATTCTACCCTGTCATGCAGAGTCCTCTGGAGTTAGAATCAACTCAACAGCACACAACAACAACAACTTGATCATCTTTAATAAATAAGTAGTCGCTGAGCACTTTAACAAGTCAGTCATTGGGAATTAAACTATCAAATCCTAACATAAGGGAAAGAAAATAAGGATTTCTGAAAACAGAGAGTATTCTGCTAATAATTAGGAGGCCCTCATCTCCTTGAAACTTAACATCACTATAAGAGTGAGTGGGCATTTTAATCAGGAAAGAATGTTGGATTTTGTCATGAAATAGTATACAATATGGATGACCCTAGAGGACATTATGCTGAGTGAAATATCTCAGTCACAAAAGGACAAATACTGCATAGTGCCACTGTTGTAAAACAGGATTGACATCGGGGTTGGGGGAGAACCTAAGAAAAGAGGGGATAAATAATGTATACTGCATTGAAACAGATGAGTGAGAGAACTGTTTAAAAGGAATATATGATTAGATATTATTATTATTATTATTATTTTCATGACAAGATTCCAGAAAAAGAAATGCATAGTAAATGGACTGTGGATATTGGGGGCAGGGGTGGGGCCTATGTATAATAATGAAAGTTTTGTTGTTTTTTTCTTTTCAAAGAGAAAAGTTAACTAGAGGGGAGGGATGGGCAGGGAGGAAAATGTGCAACAATGAATGAATTGGGGGGGGGGAAATTAAATGGGAAGAAAGAAAAAAATAGACTGAATGGGAACTCTGAAGCTTTAGTGAGTCAGGAGTTGTACTGTCAACCCAAAAGAAGGCAGTGTGAAACCACCAGCTGCTCCAAGGGAGGAAATGGAACAGCCTTCTGTGCAAATTACAGCCTCTGAAAACTCACGCAAGGGTCAGCTATGAGTTGGTTCTGACTCTATGGCAATAATGTAAGTTGTTGTTGTTGCTGTTGTTATGTGCTGTCGAGTCGTTTGCGACTCATAGCGACCCTATGTACAACAGCCCTAATCTCTGCTCTGTCCTGTGCCAATCGCACCATCTCCGATACACCCATCCCGATTACCCCAGTCACTGAATCAATCCATCTCATAGAGAGCCTTCCCCTCCTGCGCCGTCCCTCCACCCTCCCAAGCATGATGTCCTTCTCCAAGGACCGGTCCCTCCTTACAACATGACCAAAGTATGTAAGTAAGTAAGTAGTGATAGAAATTAATTTAATATTTTATATAAATACACAAATGATGGGACTAGACACCCTTGCACTCTAGGTTTCATTCCGTTCTTTCTCCTCCTTTCTTTTTCTCTCTTGAGAAACAGCCATTTGAAGGTGAGCCGGAGACCCTGCTCACACCTGCCCCGCCCCTCCACCCCCACCCCCTGGGGCTGAAGCGAGAGATACTGACCATTCCACTTGAGGTGCTGCAGGTTGCTATAGAGGAGCTGCCCTGCGGAGCCTGCCGCCCGAGTGAATTCCTGCAAACTCATGCTGCAGAGATGTTCACCACTGATGTCGAACTCCTGGAAAGGGATACAGCTGGCGTCGAGCTGGTTGGTGTCCAGAAGGTGCTGGAGCCACTCCCACACCTGGTACTTGGTCCAGTACTGAGGGTGGATTTCATGCCATTGGCCTCCAAAAAACCCACTGGAAACTGAAAAACCACAATAGGAGAGCATCGCTTGAGTGATGTGTGTTTGTGGCCGGTAACCTCAGACAAGGAGACTCACAGGCCTGTGAGGTCATAGAAAGTACCACCCACCATTCACCTGCATCAGAGGGCGTGAGACCAGCTCTGGAGAAGGCTCCAGGATGCATGGGTTTTCCCCTCCTTGTGGTGGAGGCCAAGCAGTTGGCCCTCAAGCATTATCCTATCATCCTGTCATGGTGCCTCAGGAGTTAAACAGTCAGCTGCTAACCATAAAGTTAACAGATCAAACCCTGCTGGAGACCTCACCAGAGAAAGACTTGGCTGGCTGCCCTCACACAGATAACAGCCCAGAACACACTATAGGGTAGGCAGTGTGAAACCACCAGCTGCTCCAAGGGAGGAAATGGAACAACAGCCTTCCATGCAAATTACAGCCTCTGAAAACTCATGCGAGGGTCAGCTATGAGTTGGTTCTGACTCTATGGCAATAAGTAAGTTGTTGTTGTTGTTGTTGTTGTTGTTGTTGTTGTTATGTGCCGTTGAGCCGTTTGCAACTCATAGCGACCCTATGTATGTATATGACTTTATCATATGGGGTCACCATGAGTCAGAAACGACTAGACTGCACACAACAACAATGGCAGGTGTCTGGTGAAGAGGATGTGAGACTTTTAAGTGCTCTGAGCACATTTTTTCCCATGACAAAGACGTGCCATGGCAGCTGAAGTGTTCGTGATAATCAACCAAACATCAACTCCACTGTCATCAAGTCAATTTTTACCCATAGCGACCTTGCAGGGTTTCCAGGACCTCCATGGAAACAGACTGCCACCCTTCGAACTACCAACCTTCTGGGTAGCAGCTGAGCATTGTAAACACTGCACCGCTATGACTCTTTAATGTGTCGTTATCCTTTTTAACTATTTATTAGCTTTTCATCCACAGCAACCTATCTCTCTCTTCTCCCATTCTCAGACTTCCTCTCACGCTTTCTGTTTTCTTTTTCCCCCTATACATACATACCTAAGACTCAAACGACTAAAACAATTAAGGTTCTTTTTTCCACTGTTTGTTCTCTCTCAAAATGGTTCCGATTCCTTATCTGCTAACTGTGCCAGGCTCTCCCCACCCTCCTACAATGGACATTATAGCTACTGTGAGGTCACTGGCCTGCTGCTTTACCTTTAGTAACTGCCCATTAGTCACTGAAATGAATGAAGGAAGTGAGGCTCTATTCTTCAAGTGACCTGCGGATAGCATGGATATCTATGCTATTTCTTCAGCTCAGTTTATATTCTATCCATTGTTCCCAGTTGAATTCCTACCCTTTCAAACTCCAACCACCCCATCAAGCAATCACTAATGCCCTCGATCTTACTTCGAGGACTCACACTCCTCTGAGTCTCCAAAAGACTTGCTTGGTACTTTTCCTAATGGTTTATGCCAATGGTCTGCTTTTCATAACAGAAGTTTGGCAACCTCCACGTACTGTCTTATTCGACCTTGTAAATTGTATGCTCATGGTCATAGATTCCATCGTGCTCACCTTGTACCTCCTATGACCCTTCCTTTGAGACCTTGCCAGAGCAAGTGCTCACTAGATATTTACTTAACGCAATTTGTTGCTGAAGAATTTGTTGCTAATGTGGGGATCCAGTAGAGTTGAGAGGCACATTTCAAAGGTGGTTAATTCAAATAGTAGTGATGATGTAAAGCTCATTCAAGCCAAAAAATATGGCCGAGCCCACTTTGTGCTAACAATCTATCCATATGAGTCCATCATGCTCACTTGGGCATATAGAAGATGAAGTCTAAAACTAGTGCGTAATCTTGACAGGGCTGAGAGAAAGTAGAAGCCAAGGGGAAAATCTCTCTTCTAGGGAAGGTGAAAGGCAAGGGACAAGATAAGGTACCATTGCACCCCACCAAGCTGAAGCATGCAAAATCCAATGAAACTTGGCAAGGACTCAAAGAGGGACCGAAAGGGAATCATAGTGCAAGTAAACTGTTCCAATCTCAAACCCTTTTCTTCAAGGTCATGCTGGCTAGATCAGCACTCTTCAAATTTGAATGTGACTCAGAATCATCAAGGACTATTTTTAAAATCATAGTGGAGTGGACTTGGGGGAGGGATTATATAACAATGAAAGAATTTTTCTTTTACTTTTCAAAACGAAGGCTGCATAGTGCAGTGAACTTGGGGAGAGGGATTTTAGACCAATGAAAGAATTTTTGTTTTACTTTTCAAAGAGAAAAGCAAACTGGGGTGGAGGGAGAAAAGTGCAACAATGAATGAATGGAAATCCAGAGTCTCTGTAAACTATAATTAAAATTAATTAAAAACAAAACAAAACAAAACACCCAACTCAGATTCTGTTTCTATGGGTGTAGGGAAGGACCTGTGGTTCTGCACTTTTTTTTTTTTTTTTTGGTTCTGCACTTCTAATAAGCTCCTTAGTGCTACTGCTCTGTGGACACACGTGGAATGGGAAGGTACCACAGAGCTCGGAAAGACGTGACCCTCACAATGCCTACGGCCTGGCCTTCAACGCCCGGAGCGGAGAGACTGAGGGAGGGAGCTTTCTAAGCTCGCTCTTACTCCTCTCCATCTGAATCCACCCACTACTTCCAAACTTCAGAAGCACTAAGATTAAGAGGTCAAGTTAATTTAGAACGAGAAGGTGAAAGTCATTGGCAATGTTGCCATTCACAGTGTATGCCTCACGCCTTATCTCTCTTGGTCAAGCAGAAGTAGCCTGCTTGTCTCAGCTTGCATCTTGAAGGTGGGCAAGGGCTGGAAATACCAAGTGCAGCATTATAGTTATGTAGAAACTTTCCCAAATGTACAGAGCTTAGACTCCATGTTTCTATACCGCTCCACTTCCTGGTATCTCTATACACAGGTAGATGTCCTAAGATGAGCTGTGGGTTGTATTTTTTTTTTAATGACTCTCAAGTCTTTGATCCTTCTTATGTATAGACAACTGAATTTCTGCAACTATGCAGAGGAGCCTGGGGATCTCAAAGATTTTGCAGTCTGAAGAACCTCCTTGCTCTACTTGGAATCCTCTTTCTCAATCCCCATAGGGAATGCTGCAACAGAAAATGTCACTGCTCAGGAAGGGCAGCCTTTGGTGAGATGACCATTGATGAAGGGAAGTGTACATCTCAAACTTTCAACTATAGGTGCCTGAGGTTCCAAAAACATTAAAAAAAGAGGCAGAGTTCCACATGCAGCTGCTGGTTGGGAATATAACCCTCCCATGATTCTCTTGCCCTAGTGGCAGAGTGACTGAGTATGAAGTGTCTAGCTGAAAGGTCGGTGGTTTGAACCTATCACCCACTCCATGACAGAGAGATATGTCAGTCAAATTCTGTAAAGATTGGAAACATTGGGAGGGGAAATTCTGCTCTGTCCTATTAGAACCAACTCAGTAAGAATACACGCGAACTTCTCACTCCAGCCTGCCAGACTGTGCTTGCCAACAGCCTTTCTCCACCTTTCCAAGGAGAAAAGAACATTAGAGTCCTTAGGATTAGCAGCAGGTGGGTGTGGCCTCGGAGCCTCCCCTGTCCTTCTGATGCACACTGGTCTGCCAAACGGGGAGCCCCTAACTCAACAACAAACTTTGTTTGGCTCCTATAGAGAGCAGGTTCGATCTCCAAATTCTCTATAAACCCCACTGCTAGGTTTAAGATTACTCCTCCTTCCTTCTCCTAAAAACTTATGTATTAGATTAAAAAAAAATGCATCATAACACCTGTTATGGTATTAATATAATAACATTTGTTCTCTTACAAAGGAGTGTTAGCAGAAGATGAAATAAAAGTAGGAAGCTGCTATGTCCCTGTCCTCCTCAAGCTCAATGTGTGTGTGTGTGTGTGTGTGTGTGTGTGTGTGTGTACGTGTCTGAGTCTGCATGCTTGCATACACAGATAAGCAGAAACATACACACCCCTCATCTATCTTATCTTGATATTCCAGCCAAACTCTTTTAAAAGCTTCAACAGGTAGCCTTCCCTCTGGGCATCTCATAGATCACTCTTTTCTGCCAGGCTGCCCACCCAGCACCTTAAATAAGAGCTTCTGTTTGGAACTATACAGAGAAGTTTAGCTTCAGGCATTTTCCCATCCCCAATGGAACTCCTGACATCCATTAAGCCAAGTCTGCATTTATTTTTCCCCCCCTCAAACATTTAAGTTGAGAGAGGAAGCATCATATAAGTAAGTGGAGAATCCCAAGGAAGCGACACAACTCTTCCTGGCCCCCTTACCATTGCACGTGGAGTAGCTGTCTGCCCAGGTTGGCTGCTGGTGGAGGAGGTTGTTGCTGGGGTTGAGATTCATTACACCACTTCCTTCCAGAATCATGATCTGCAAGGGGATCAAGCCACCTCGTCAGTTAGAGTCACCTCTGTTAAACATCATTTCAAAGTACAGATCATAAAAGGAAAAGCCAAAATTTGTCCTTTCACCCCTGCCTCCAGAAAGACACGTTGCCACCTCCTTTTCCAGTAAAAGCAAAGCTCCCTCGCAATGAAAAATTTCCAGGTTCGATTTTCATATGCATGAGGCAAGTTTTTACAGCCACCCATTCACAAATGAATAATCGCTGATCAGGAATGAAGTGGGAGGAAAACGCAATACCTGCTCACTGGGCGAGGCTGGCCAGCGACCAAGTGTTTTACAAAAGTGAAAATGCCAAAGAGATTTGGTTTAAAGGGGAGTTTAAATGAAGGAAAAGCCAAGCCTGCTGAGGCCCAGTGTCGGCACCTGTGCCTGTAATCTGTAATCAGTGGGTCGCTCATTCCAGCTCACCTCTGCAGCCCTGCCCGGCATTGAGTCCCCTCAGTGCAGGGGTCTCCTGTGGCCCAGTCTGCTGGTCGCAGGGCCCAGCGGCACCTCAGCGAGAGCCATCAAGTATGAGGAATGACTGCTTTCTCTGATGAAAACCCTGCCCCGTTCCTGCAGTCCTGGTAAAGATTGTGACTACTTTTGGTGGACATTGGGAGCCCTGGTGGCTTGGTGGGCAATGAGTTGTGTTGCCAACCCACAGGTTCATATCCATCAGCTGTTTCACAATATGAAGATGGACAATCTCCTCCCATGTGGTTTACTGTCTCTGAAAATGCCCTGGAGGCTCAGCTATAAACTGGTTCAGACTCCACTGCAAAGAGAAGGTTTGGGCTTTGTTTTTCATTTCCTTTCCATTTAGAGACCTAGAGGATACATCAGACCTGAAACTGATGAGGTTTTCTCAGGCCAGGGGAGTAAGAAGTAAAGGGCTATCTTAACTAGGTCTGTCTGGATTTTTCAATAAAACAACCTAATACACTCGTGTCTGCCGTGAGTACGATGCTTTTTAATAGAGAACTCGTGCTGTGGGATCAAATTGAAAAGTGCAACTGGGAAGGTTAGATAGGGAGTTTAGAGGTGATGGAATAACTTGGGAAAGGAGGATGAGGGTGGGTATGCAGCTTGACAAATATAATAAAAATCACCCATCGGTGCATGTAGGAATGATACCTGTGGAACTGGCATATATTTTACTGTGTGTATTTTCAACAACTCATGGACAACTTCAAGAAAGAGAAACCCGTGCCAATGTCCCAGCACCTATAAGGTCATTGTTCCAGAGCCAGGCAACATCAGTATCTAAACAAAAGCTGTGAAAAGTACGTCCAGTCATATGCAGAAGAAGGCCTCTTTCCAGAGTGTTTGCAAAGGACACTCACTCTATCGACGGTTCGGATGAGGAGAGAGTCTTTTTCTTTTTTTGCAAAGGCCAGGAACATTTCTTTTTTTTCTGTTCATGTTGGGGAAATCTCATATCCTTGGGAAATCACCATATTCCTAGGGCTGAAATGGCCCACCCCAAACAGGGCCAACCCTTTAAATCTCTTCTATTAATTTAGCTCACCTGGGACAGGGCAGAGCTTGAAAGAGAGAGAAGACAGCGCAGGAGAGGAAGCCCCTCAATGAGGTGGATTGATTCAGTTGCTGGGCTAATGGGGATAGGTGTGTTGGAGACAATAAGATTGGCAAGGGACAGAGCAGGGTTTAGGGCTGCTGTACACAGGGTCGCTATGAGTCACAGATGACTTGATGGCCCATAACAACAACAGAACCGTTGGCAGTTTGAATCCACCACCCACTGTTATAGCTTCAGAAACCTGATGGAGGGTCGCCAAGAGACAGGCTCAACTCAACAGCAGTGAATTTTTTAGTATCATGGATTCAGGGGCTGCGTCAATGAATGGGGTTAAGCATAGCAGAGATTGTAAGGATAGCACGGGAGCAGGCAGGGCTTCTGTCGTACATAGATAGACATAGATAGATAATACCTAGTTAGGGTCCCTGTGAGTAGGAGCCAACCAGATGGCACCTAACAACAACAATAACACCATCACAGCAATAATGGGCTAGACACTGCTGTAGGGAGCAGAGTGATTAAGGATTGAACTAGGCCAGGCGTGAACATTTATGACCATTGCTCACCTCATCATCTCTGTTGTTTGGTAAATAATTAGGCCTGAGTCCAGCCTAACAAGCAGGTGGAGAATGACAGGGACGACAGAGTGGTGGACGATGTGACCACAGAGACCACCAGACAGAAGAGGTAAGAGTTGGATTCGATTTCCTGGTACACCACGTCAGACCTTCAAAAGCCAGAACAAACTGAGCTATTTTCCCAGCTCTATCCTTGCTAGTTCAGATTAGTGCTAACTCAGACAACTTCCTTTACTTCTTTGAACCCCAGTTTCCTCATATGCAAAATGCAGGTAATCATACCTACCATGTACATTGCTTGGAGATGAAATGAGTTTCTATACCTCAAGCACTTGGCACGAAGTAGGACACTAATGCCAAATGAGGAGAGTCAGGCCTCTACGGATTGGGCCTCAGTTTCCCCAACTAAAAAGGTAAAGAAGATGACTAAATGGGTCCTTTAAATTCCTTTTTAGACATCTCTTTGATTTGCACTCTCAGAGAAAGAAACAAAGCTTAATAAAACCTACCTCTGGTTGTCACATTAGCTGGACATTTTCCCACCCAGCTCCCAGAGCAATTGCCCCCAAGCTCAGAGATCCCACTCGGGACTTCAAGGCAAAAAAATCAAACCTCCAGGTCTCCAGAGGGGGAGACCAGGAGTGGTAGACACAGCCCTGGTCTCTGTTTGCTCAAGGCTGGGCTTGTTCCTTGCCAGCATTTGCTCAACCACACGCAGTAGGAAGGTTACTGTTTAACCCCGAAAGGGCTGAAGCTCAGAGCCCAGCCCATGTGCATGGAGGGACTGGTCCCACAGGCCGGGTGGGGCCGGGGAAGGGGGGAGAAGATGGGCACCAAAAGGCCCTCCTGCAAGTCTTGCTTGAAGATTTGCCTGCAGGGCTGTTTCAGAATGGTCATTTCAGCGGGAGAGACCTGCTCAGTCACCTGTGAGCTCCCTTCTCAGCGGGCTCAGAGTTCACCTGCACTGTGTGCTCAAGGTCTTCCAGCAAACAGGAGCAGAGTGTGCTGGGCGTAAAGGGGACCCTTCGGCTTTGGAGTTGATGAGATAGGAGCTCAGATCCCACTTCCCCATTTACCCTATGTAACTTTGAATGAGGAAGTCTGTCTAGCTGAAAATCTTCTAGCCTTCACATTCCCCACCATTGGCACTACCCCAAACTCAGTAGGCTCAACAGAGCCAGAAAATGTTCTCTAAGTGTTCAGGACAGCGTGGGCCAGTTCTCCACTCTCCACTTGGGATCAAATGCCCAGCAGCTCCTTTTCTCTGAGTGGACTTTATTTCTCACAACTATCTGGAAAGATCCAGAACAACTCAAGACCCACAGAGAAACCTTCAGAACCGCAGTGCTACTGCTGTCCCACTCCATCCAGTGACCAGTCCACAGCCCCAGCTTGGCTCCCTGCTGGCACCCCCTTTTCAAGGGAAAGCAGCCAGCACGTTTAAGGGCCCCCCTCTTTTTTTACAGGGCACATTAAATGGTTACTACTCGTAAAAGAATTTATGTGGCTTAACCCTTCATGAGTCAGAGTTCACTTGAGCTCACCCAGGCTTGTGAGCAAAGAGGCTCGGCGTCTCCCCACCAGCCAGGAGGGAGCTGCAGTGGCGTCTTGAGGTGCGTGCAGGCGTGTAGATCACAAAGTGACAATGCCAGAGGGGTGACACAAAGATGATTGTCTATTTTAGTATGGAATTTCAGCAGGAATTGATATATTGTTTATAAAAATATCCTATAGTTTGTACACAATGTGAAGAATAGTGTGAAACACATGTATACAAACTTTGTAAGAAAACCAATTTAAAAAAAGAGAAAAAGTTTAAAAGAAAAGTTATGTCCAACGAATAAATCCTGCATCATGCATTCAATCATGCAATCTCCAGCGTCATTTCTATCACCGTGGTCATATTTTTCAGACTATCACTCTTTATTTCCAACTTTCGCATTCCAATCACTAGTTGTTTTTATTATTTGTGCATCTGGATTAAATGGTATGTCAATTTCTGAGTGCAAAAGATGGTATAAATCCTCAATTTCACCATATTTGGCTTTAATGGTTATTGTATCATTTGTGTAAGAGTTACCTTAACAAGTCTTCCTTGTATGCTTATAGGTATTTTTCTATCACTGACAGAATTGTACTTCAGGAAAAATCTGAAAAATGGTCATTTTGAGAATAAATGTGATGGGATTCCTCTTAAAATTTTTTTTAAAAACCCTTTTAGTTTGCTAGAGAGCGTTGGTAGTCTAGTCCATAGAGAATTGAATTAACTGCCAACCCAAAAGTAACACTTCTCTGGCAGTTCAAATCTACCAACTGCACCATGGGAGAAAGATGGGCACTCTCCTCCCATAGGATTTACTGCCTTGGAAACCCAATGGAGGGTCAGCTATGAGTTGGTTACCATTCAAAGGCAATGAGTTAGATGTAGTCGGTCGTAACAACAAGGAATATTTCTGTATTAAAACATTAAGTCCAGCTTGCATATATCAAGGGAGCTCTAGTGGGTTAGTCTATAGCGAGTTGTGCTACTAACCGAAAGGCAGTACCTTTCTGGAAGTTCAAATCTACCAGTCGCTGCTTAGGAGAAAACCGTCCTGCTTTTAAACCCGAAAAAATGAGAGGTGATCTGATTATACCAAAGCCTTTCTGGTAGACTGATCAGGATGGGATTTTCTGTGCCCACATTGAGAACCCTCTTTGTTGCTCCCCACTGGAAACACCAGTCAGGGTTGATGTCACCCAGTGTGGTAGCTCTATTTCATTCTTTCCCCAAGGGGTCTCCTCTTGTTCGAGTCATTGCCTCCCCAAACCTACAAGGCTAAAACGCTATGTTAATTTACTTTTTGAACCTTCTCATGTGC